TTCCTGCAAAAATGTATCATGGTTTCCACAAAAAATTTGATCGCTCAACTGTTTCGAACATTCATAAAATATTGAGCACCAAATCAGCGCATTAGAATGATTAAGGATCATGTGACACTGAAGACTGGAGTATTGGCTGCTGATAATTCAGCTTTAGGAATACATTTTTAAATATTTTATTTTAAATTGTAAATGCATTAAGACTAATTTCAAAAACATTAAATCTAATTGACCTTAAACTTTTGAATGGTAGTGTATATGTAATAATCTAAGTCTCATAAAGTTTAAGTTCATTTTGACTTTGCTTCAAAAATATAAGTAATAGTTTTGTGCATCTTATTTATAACTAATTAAATCTGATCAGGTGTTGTTTAATAACAACAGTAACTTTCACTTTAGACTTGGTCAAAAAATCCTTGGTAAACACAAAATAAGTATAATGATGTTGGCACACATGAATGTTCACCTTTCATTTAACCGCACTGAATGGACCCTAAAATACTCACTCACAGATTATTTCATGCTGATTTTCATTCACATGTTCGAGGGAGTGAGTTGTTTACTCCGTAATTAATTCACATCCACTTGACCATTTAAGCTGATTTTCAGACTGGTTAAGAATCCAATAGTAATTTTTCATAGTTGTTTGATGAAATATATATGTAAATGCATTGCACAAGTAAATGGAACTGATTTGCCTAAAACAGCAGAGAGATGTTCATATTACTTTGCAGGATCTCAGACCGTGGCGGTGGCATTCCTCACAGCATTTTGGATCAGGTGATGGATTACCACTTCAGCACAGCTGAACAGAGCGCCCAGGATCCCCGCATGAGCAACCTTTTCAACAACATTACCAACAGCGGCCCCCAGTCTGGACCCATGCATGGGTAAGAGGAGCTAGACCTATGTGAAAAAGAGCACAAGCTCAAATTAAAAGCTGCTTCAAATGTTTGGTGCTAAGGTTGGATTTTTATGTGAATTATTGATGGACCGTTTGTGATCATGTCTCTTTTTTTCAGTTGTAACATGCTTTTCACCTCTTCAAGAGTAAATATTTATGTCTTGTCCACATGCAGCAGCTGACTTCTGTGCATTCTTGCAAGATCAGTATAGTAGCTAAAGTGGTCTGCACTACATGATCTAGATTTAACCAGTTCGGTCTGAATCTGTAAGTGTAAAGTGTTATGCCGGCACTCCTCACTATGAGCAGTCTCAAATTACATTTACAGAAGACCAGATGGCAACTGGCATCTTTTTCTAATTAAAGGGGTCATATGATGTTGCTAAAAAGAACATTATT